CTCTTATTTCCCGTGTTCATGAATTTATTTCGAGGAAGTACTACTGGTATACATACATGTATAAAGTGAAACGATGCAGCGTGTTTTACTAAAATCCTATACCGTAAAACAAGGCTCATTGCCGGCCCACCACAGTGCATCACAAAAGCTCGTAGTGCGAAGTTTAGACGTTGTTTGCTGGATTCTCGTCGTGACTATAACATTGTGCATATGGCATACTTGACCTGCATTTTCCATTATTTTTGAGATTATCAACGGCACAATTATTTTCGATAATACTTAAGGCAAGTTTTTGTCATTTTGAGGCCCTTTTTTGTATAGCTTTCGTAGTGCAATGGAAATAGTTCAGGCTGAAAATTTTCATATAATTTTAACAAATCTGAAAGCAAATATTCAGTTGCTTTATGTGCCGTTTATTAACTCCATTTCCAAGTATAATTAAGTGATGAACCAACTGACAACTGTATTTAAAAAAATGAAAACATAAGCAGTAAAACCTTTTATTAATCTCCATTTAGGCCTAGTTAGTTTTTAAAAATAAATTCTTACAGTTACAAAAACCAAAGAAGTAACGCCACTTTAGCATGTTATTAAGCAAAAACTATAATGCAGCCCCCTGAAGAAATCCTGATATTCAAAATATTAAAAACAATGTTGACCCGTCGTTTCACCGCTGTTTATCCGTGAATTTTAAGGAGAGCGATTTGCTCTCCTCAAAGATTTGAGGGGAGCAATTTATACATGTAGCTCTAATGGATTTCCTTTAAATGAAGGACTGATTCCAAAACATTTTAAATACTGAAATTGTTAATTGATGGGGCCTGCTGTACATGTCCTCTATTGCATAGTCCATGTACAATGCACATTCAGTGCGTGAAATTACAGTCGGACATCGGACATTTTCCGACCACTTTCTTGGTTTGTCCGACCAAATGCAGATGTACTCGGACAAAATGTCAGAGCGATGTATGAATATATTCTTTGTGGAGTTGTCTTTTAAAGAAGTATGAAATATACGCTTGCACACAAAATTCTCTTGCTGTTTATTTTCAGTAATCCGGTCTGAATTACTCTAGCTGAGCTTATTTTTACGCAATAGATGCAATGCAAAACATAGATCCAAAACATTTTAAATTCTAAAATTGTTAATAATTGGGTCTGCTGTACTTGTCCTCTATTGCATTGCATGTACAAGACACATTCCAAAACATTTTAAATACTAAAATTGTTAATAATTGGCCCTGCTGTACTTGTCCTCTATTGCATTGCATGTACAAGACACACATTTAAATACTGTATGCCTGCTGTACATGTCCTCTATTTCACAGTTCGTGTACGTGTACCGCTAATACATATTCAAACATGTCACATATCCTATAATGTTAGAATGTGTTATGTTCCAGTGGTTTTATTTGCGTATTTACATTGACTATGGTGCGGATGACTTGAATGCTCCATTAATAATTAAAACAAAAACTTTTACCTTATATATTTTACATTGAGCAATTATATTTTAAGCTCTTTTGATGTTCATTCTCGAAAAACTTTCTGGTGCTAATGGAACTAACCCAGACCCAAAGTAAAACACATACATGTATGATTCTTTGCTCCTGTTCCACCATACAATCATCACACAAAATGACGATAATTTTTTTTTTAGATGTACTGACCCTATTTTTAAAAAGGCATGTAAAAGGAAGCAAATTTCCCTTGGCCTTGCTTCTTAATTTGAAACTTAGTTTTAGTCCATACTTTTCCAGTTCAAAAATAATCAATCTCATTTGAATTTTAAGGAAAAATCCAGTTACTTGTAAAGATCACCGTATTTGTTACAGCTACCGGTACATGTGTAATCACTATTGGCAATCACTTAAATAACGGACAACTGCACATCCTGTATTTTTGGTCAAACGTTTTATTTTCTGTTTAAAAAAAAAGAGAAAAAAAATCAAAACTACTAAGCTGACTTCTACATGTACTTGGAAAACGGGTATTGGGAATGCATCAGCTACCATTAGAAAGCAAATTAATTAGCCATGATAGTATCCATGTTCTTTAAGGCTTTTTATGCGGCCCTGGATCGCGGCAGTGAGACTTCGTGTTGTGCACAAAAAATCTGGACTCCAACGTTGCACTCCCACTTTTAAATTTTACACTCCCACTTTCTCAAATCCTGGCTAAAACACTGTTATGAACATCATGATTTGCACTACTGTTTTTTACAGCATTGATGCAATGAGTCCCACTTCATGTATGGCACGGTGGATCAACGATGCGAAAGACACACCCAACTGTGTGATGAAGAAACTAGTTTTCAAAAGCTGTGATGAACCACACCTGTGTCTGTTTGCCTTGTTCGATTTGGAAGTTGGCTCAGAGCTGCGATACAATTATGGCATAGACAATCTACCCTGGCGACAGGTAAGAAAAAGAGCTATACATGTATATAAAGCAACCATGTATACCCAGGGCCCCTGTGGCCTGGAAAAATCTTGAGAATGACATGGATTTTTTTTTTCATTTCAAGGACCATAAATAAAAAATTGTATGGTCCTCATATGGCTTTATTTCATACCTTGCAAAATGTTCTTGAAAATTGTATTGGACAAAAACTAATCTTGAGTTTCCAATAACCCGACTGTGACTGCAACAAATTGGCCATTAGTAGAGTTGGTAAAAAATGTCTTTTCAATAATGAAAGTAAATGGGAAAAAAAGAAATAAAACATTAATTTATATATAAAATCAGCTGAAATTGCTGCATGTATATTGTGTAACAAAATTCAACAGATTGTAATCACTAGTGGCAAGTTAGTGGTTGAAACAAAAATCATGTTGGACTGAAAGCAAACAAAACAATTGAGAAAGTCAATGTCTTTTCTGTCAATTTAAAAATACTTAAATTTATGTCAAAAATGCTTATAACACTTCCATCGTCTGTTTGCTCGTTTGCTCTATTTGCTTATTTACTGATTTACTTTTTTGAGGGTAGGGGCGTTAATAATAACTTGTTCTTTGTATCTAATTTTAGACCAAATGGAAGCAAGATCACAGCGACAATGACTGTCCATGCCAGTTGTATTCACCATCGTTTCATGATGAGCCACAGCAATCACGCATCAGTGCTGGTCATGCAGCACAAATGCCTTCCAAGTTGTCTATAGCTGAGCCACACCAATCACACATAGTTTGTGGTGGTCCACATTGTCTTAAGAAAGATGTCCAGGCAGCAGACCAAATGCCTTCCAAGTCTCTTGATGAGCCACAGCAATCACACATAGTTGTTGGTCCTCATTGTCTTGAGCAAGATGTCCAGTCAGCAGACAATATGCCTTCCAATTCCTCTCTAGGTCAGCCACAGCAATCACACATAGTTGGTGGCCCTCATTCTCTTGAGCAAGATGTCCAGTCAGCAGACCATATGCCTTCCAATTCCTCTCTTGGTGAGCCACAGCAAACACACATAGTTGGTGGCCCTCAATATCTTGAGAAAGATGTCCAGTTAGCAGACCAAACTCCTTTGAAGTCCTCTCTTGATGAGCCACAGAAATCACACACAGTTAGGGGTCGTCATCGTCTTGAGATAGATATCCAGTCAGCAGACCAAATGCTTTCCAATTCCTCTCTTGATGAGCCACAGCAATCACAGATAGTCAGTGACCCTCAATGTCTTGAGAAAGATGTCCAGTCAGCAGACCAAATGCATTCCAATTCCTCCCTTGGTGAGCTACAGCAATCACACATAGTTGTTGGTCCTCATTGTCTTGAGCAAGATGTCCAGTCAGCAGACCAAATGCCTTCCAATTCCTCTGTTGGTGAGCCACAGCAATCACACATAGTTGTTGGTCCTCATTGTCTTGAGCAAGATGTCCAGTCAACAGACCAAATTCCTTCCAATTCCTCTCTTGGTGAGCTACAGCAATCACACCTAGTTGTTGGCCCTCAATGTCTTGAGAAAGATGTCCAGTCAGCAGACCAAACGCCGTTGAAGTCCTGTCTTGATGAGCAACAGAAATCACACATAGTCGGGGGTCGTCATCGTCTTGAGAGAGATGGCCAGTCAGCAGACCAAATGCTTTCCAATTCCTCTCTTGATGAGCCACAGCAATCACACATAGTTAACGTTGGTGGCCCTCAATGTCTGGAGAAAGGTTTCAAGTCATCAGCAGACCAAATGCCTTCCAATTCCTCTCTTGGTGAGCCACAGCAATCACACATAGTTGGTGACCCTCTATATCTTGAGAAAGATGTCCAGTCAGCAGACCAAATACATTCCAATTCCTCTGTTGGTGAGCCACAGCAATCACACATAGTTGTTGGTCCTCATTGTCTTGAGCAAGATGTCCAGTCAGCAGACCAAATGCCTTGAAGTCCTGTCTTGATGAGCAACAGCAATCACACATAGTTGGGGGTCGTCATCGTCTTGAGAGAGATGTCCAGTCAGCAGACCAAATGCTTTCCAATTCCTCTTTTGATGAGCCACAGCAATCACACATAGTTAACATGGGTGGCCCTCAATGTCTTGAGAAAGGTTTCAAGTCATCAGCAGACCAAATGCTTTCCAATTCCTCTCTTGATGAGCCACAGCAATCACACATAGTTGGTGACCCTCTATGTCTTGAGAAAGATGTCCAGTCAGCAGACCAAATGCTTTCCAATTCCTCTGTTGGTGAGCCACAGCAATCACCCATAGTTGTTGGTCCTCATTGTCTTGAGCAAGGTGTCCAGTCAGCAGACCAAACGCCGTTGAAGTCCTGTCTTGATGAGCAACAGAAATCACACATAGTCGGGGGTCGTCATCGTCTTGAGAGAGATGTCCAGTCAGCAGACCAAATGCTTTCCAATTCCTCTCTTGATGAGCCACAGCAATCACACATAGTTAACATGGGTGGCCCTCAATGTCTTGAGAAAGGTTTCAAGTCATCAGCAGACCAAATGCTTTCCAATTCCTCTCTTGATGAGCCACAGCAATCACACATAGTTGGTGACCCTCTATGTCTTGAGAAAGATGTCCAGTCAGCAGACCAAATGCATTCCAATTCCTCTGTTGGTGAGCCACAGCAATCACACATAGTTCATGGCCCTCATTGTCTCGAGAAAGATGTCCAGGCAGCAGACCAAATGTCTTCCAATTCCTCTCTTGGTGAGCCACAGCAATTACACATAGTTGATGGCCCTCAAAGTCTTGAGAAAGATGTCCAGTCGGCAGACCAAACACCTTTGAAGTCCTCTCTTGATGAGTCACAGAAATCACACATAATTGTTCAGAGGCATGCTCCATCATATCCTGTAGAGGATAATCTTGACTCACCTGATGAATATTCCTCAGATGAAAACGACCCAGATTTCATTCCAGATTCAAATTCGTCAGATGAAGACATTGTTCCAGAATCATCAGATGAAATATCTTTGAGGTCACCAAGCCCGGTAATACCGATTCCATCAAGGGAGTCTTCCAATCATCCAGTTTCTTCTGATGAGACTGTCTCCAGCACAAGTGAAATTGAAGTCATGACAACTTCAAACTCTGAAGGGAAGCGCCACTGGGACAAACCACAGTACTGCCCATTTTGTCTTCAGCAACAGAAGAAACTACCACGCCATTTGACTACACCGATGCATAAAGATGAAACCCAAGTTAAAACTTGGCTGGCCACAACAGATGTGAAGGAAAAGAAGAAACAACTCACACTGATGAGAAACTACGGCAATTTTCTTCATAACTCAACTGTTTTGAAAAAGGGGAAAGGCACTCTTATTGTTGTGTATCGTCCTGGATATGACACGGACCATAATGATTATCTTCCTTGTCAGGACTGTTACGGCTACTATGCCAAGTCAGATTTATGGAAGCACAGATGCAGCCAAAAACCTGATGTTGATTGCTCTGGTGAGCCTTGTGTAAAAAAGAGAAGAACTATGTTCTGCAAGCCAGGGAGAATGCTTTTGCCATCAACACCCGGGGTTAGTGCTAGGACTAATGAAATCTTGTCAAGTATGAATGCCGACAACATTTCCCGCTTGGTCAAGTCTGATGAGCTTATCAAAAGGTTTGCTGACAAGTTGGTAATGAAGCATGGCCACAGCAAAGACCAGGCTGGATACATCAGGCAAAGATTAAGGGAGATTGCACGAATGGTGTTGGAATTTCGATTCTTGACGGGCCAAACAAATGTTGGATTGTCTACACTGATATGTCCTACAAAATTTGTTGCAGTGACTCGTGCAACACGAGTTGCAGCTGGCTTCAATGACGAAACTCATCTGTACAGCACACCCAGTCTTGCACTGAAGATTGGACACAGCATGAAGACTTGTGCAGAAATTCTGCGTGGTGAGGCTCTTATGTCTGGGGATGAGTCGACTGAGAAGCGTTGTAAAGGATTCCTATCACTTTACTCCACACAATGGGAAGAAAAAGTCAGCCATCATGCATTACGTAGTTTGAATGAGGCGCAGCGAAACAATCCAAAGCTGTTACCGTTGACTGAAGATGTGGTGAAGCTATCGCAATATCTGAAGGATGAGGTTAGAGTCAGGGAACAGGTGTTGCAAAGTGCAGATGGCTCAAGAGAAGTCCAAACAGCATGGTCAAGGCTGGCAGAAATTCTTCTCTCCCAAATCATTCTCTTCAACCGAAAGAGACCCGGGGAAGTCTCAAGAATGACAATTCAAGACTACAGTAAGTGCATGAATGGAGAAGACACAATCATTGAAGGTGCCCTGACAGCCTGGGAGAAAGCCCTGTGCAGAGTGCTTTGGAGGGTAGAGTTGATAGGAAAGCGGTCCAGGACTGTCGTTGTACTTCTCACCTCTGACATGAAGCATGCCTTGGATCTTCTCCTAAGTAAGAGAGCTGCAGCTGCAATTAATGATGGCAACGACTATCTCTTCTCAGCTAGATATGGAGAAGGCCACATTAGAGGGACAGATACTGTTCGTGAGCATGCCAATAAGTGCGGAGCCAAACAACCTGCAAATCTACGAGCGACCAGGTTAAGGAAACATATCGCAACAGTCTCGCAGATCATGAACTTGAAAGAAAACGAACTAGATGTCCTGGCTAATTTTCTTGGACACGATATCAGGACTCACCGACAGTACTATCGTCTCCCTCAATCTACCATTCAAGTTGCAAAAGTATCCAAGGTTCTTCTGAAAATGGAGAAAGGGGACATCAGGGGTCTCGCCGGAAAAACTCTACAAGAGGTTGAGCTCAATCCAAATGAAGGTACACAAAGAAAATTGCTATTGTCAACATTCAAAATAATATCCATGTATCAATGCCCATTTTTGGGAAGTGTGATTTACAAAAACATTTTCAATTTTTTTTTTTTAACCTCATCACGTTGACAATATCAAGTGAAATAAAAGAGACGTGTTTTATATCATTCTCTCAGACTACAATACAGATGCTGAGTCTGATGCTGAGTCTGGGTCTGATGCTGAGTCTGGGTCTGATGCTGAGTCTGATGCCGAGGCAGAGGTCAATCAGGTCAAACCACCAGCTAATGGGGACAGACACGGGAAAGGTACGCATCAGTGCTATCAGACACGGCCAATATGCAGTTATCACAAGTATATTTTGTCAATACAAACAAAAAGGTGTACATTTCAATGGGACAGATTTGCAAGATGTGTTGGAACCTATACTGTGAAAACGGCTCACACATTTGTGGGTAGTACGGTCGAGTGAAAAAGAATTATTTTTTAAGTTTTTATTACAAACCAAGTAATTTTTGAAATCACGTTTTGAATTGGGAATCTTGCCAAATCTAGAAGAACTGAATCAATATTTAATACCCTCTAAACGCTAATCCACTTGTTAATCTGTGCTGCAGTTTTAACAAAGACCACATGGTGAATGTGGCTCATAAAGGACTGAAAATACAAGTTGGTGTCGCAATTGTTTACGGTACATGAACCTTTACTGGAGGAAGTTCATTGTATGTTTTGTTTTGATATTTGGTTTGGGGGGGGGGGGGTAAGGGGTTATGATATGGTACACGCAAGTTTTTTCTCTCCAAAATTCAAAACCGATGACTGATTATAAACACACAACAGACAACTCTGAGCAAGACCAGAATAATCTGTCAGCGACCAGCTCGCAGCTGGCATTTGTGCGTGATGTCCACATTTGGCTGGGGTTGGAGCCACTGGGTCGATGTTAGTGGAAAATAATGCACCTGTGTTCGGTAAATTAATTAAAACATGTTGCGAACTGGTTGAAAGATATTGCAGTGATTCGGATGACTGGCTAGCGTTTTCCCTCTCCCATCCACCACCCCACAAAAAACTACATAGGTGTATGTCTTTTGGTTTATCGTGCAGGCAAACAACCTACAATTAAGAGAGCTTGGAGTAGTAAAGAAAAGAAAGCTGTTGCAAGGCATCTAGGTGGATACCTCCGTGGCCGTACAGTTCCCGGCAAAGCTGCTATCATCAAACTGTTCCAAGCTGAGACTGGCACATTCTCACACAGGTCATGGAAGAATGTGAAGGACTTTGTCAGAAACCAAACCAGAAAGCAGGACCCAATGTCCTTTCTTGGTACCTAAATCAGTCCAGAGCTGTAGCAACCATCAAATCAATACACCTTTGGGGATAAATCTCACAATTCCCCTCCCCCACCCCCACGGCCCCCCCCCCAAAAAAATATTTAAAATAGTGGTCGCTTTTTGTCAAACTTTTCTAACCAATGATTCTAATGCCCCTTTTTTTTCCCAAAATAGCTCTACTTTTTCACGTCCACATACCCCGTGATTTTCAAATAAAAAAAACAGAAAATAATGTCTGTGTAATAATGATTCCATTCAAATAACAGTGGGACCCTTTTGCCCTGTACATGCTGAAAATCTACTTGAGTGTTAATTCAGTTTCACTTAAGATGTTTTTGTTTGCCTAACATTCCTAACCAAAGATGCAAAACTAAACAGTTAAGCAGAAGCATATATGTTTATAATGTGCAGTTTTCTCCATAAAAAATGAACGTATGTTTTCAGGAAGAAGAATGTGAGATTGACAGTAGGTGTGTTGATTTGACAATGAATTATCGCCATTCTGAAAAGGGTGTCCCTTTTTAAAAAGGAAAGAAAAATGCAGTTTAACCTGATTAGACATATTATGTGATGAGAGTCAACATAATGCATCTGCTCATCCTTTGGGATTCCACAGGTTGTTGTATGCCGTATTTGGTGTATCAACTAATCTTTTTTAACAGCCTTCAAATGATCACAGGAGCCATTCTCTGTATTTACTATTCTTTCCCCCTTTTTTGAACGGGGTTGCGCATAGGCTTAATGGGTGGAAATAATCATTTTTTTCTTGGGTTGGAAGCCAGTAGGTCGGAAATGAGAACCGCATGAATAAAAAGGGACGCCCTATAGGCAGGTTGTTTTTTTTCTTAGGAACATATACTCTGCCGAACACGAAAAAAAAGTAATGTCACTGTGACGTTACTGTGTGATTTTATGAGATACAAATATATAGGTTTTTCCGGGTTATTTTAACACTTGTATCACACAAATTCCCTATATCTTTACTTTAATTTCGTCCCCGAACATCGCCAATCTCACTTCTTAATTTGCGCGTTCCACGTCCATTTGTATATCATGTGATTGGACAATATTTTACAAACTGCATTGACGCGATTCTACCGCGATAGGTCAATTGTAGTACTGCGCACAAAGGACACATTTTCTAATCGTAACGTTTAAGTCAATAGAAACGAAATGTAATGACAGCAACATTAAAACGAATGACAAAAAAACAAATTTGCTTTGTCAATTCAACGGCATTTCCAAACGAGACGAATTTCAAGGATTTTGGACAAATCGTATGCTGAAAATTGTACTGGACGTTAAATAAAATCTAGTGGTGGCTTTTTGAAATTCAAATTAAGAAGTGAGATTGGCGATGTTAGGGAATGAAATTGAAGTTTCAATATAAGGAATTTGTGTGATACAAGTGTTAAAATAACCGGGAAAACCTATATTATATTCATTATTCTGTTTCAGAAAGAACATAGATTCAACAGATTTAACTTCCAAACAGCTCGACAAAAATCATTCATATTTAGGATGTCCAGTTTTTTAACATCTCTAAAGATATCTGAAAGATTATCGATCCTGGAAGGTGTGTTGATTTGACATTGAATTACCCAGACTAATTGAAGCTGACTGAATCGCTATATTTCATGTTTCGGCAATTGTCAAAACACCTCTTTTGTGATAAAACTTTGTTTACATGTAGATGAGAACATTTGTGACATCAAGATGATGTCACTATGTGGTTATATGAGATACACAACAAATGTTAATTCCAGTAGGATATATTTGGTCATAGAAATGCACGAAACACATTGCACAATGACATTTTCACGTCGCAGTGACATTTTCAAGACTATTCTTTACTTCTGCCTGGAAATAGAGGCTTGAAATTTATATTTTCTAAAGAGGTGATAACAAACAACGATTGAATGTGTTTTTTTTAGTTAGATGTTTATCAACAACTTTTTAGGTTTTTTTTGCAAAAAAAATGCAAGAAAATATTCCTTACAATTTTTTACTTCCTGCCTGAAAATAAAGGCTTTAAATTTCCATTCTTTATTTTCTGAAGAAATGATGACCAATTACGGATTGAATTGGTTATTAGGTTGTTAGATGTTTATCAATACAACTTTTTGGTTATTTTTTTTGTATTTGATGAGAATGTGCTCGACATGAGGATGATGTCATCGTGTTATATGATATACACAAATGTTATGAATACATTATTTAGTTTGTGGTAGTCTTACAAAATGTGTTGCACAATGACGTTTTCACAACGTCATAGTTTGAAACAATTAAAGCAGCTTTAAATTTCAAAGAAAATTGCTCTTATTTAAATTGTTCTTTCATTCCTACCTGCAAAAAGAAGCAGAAAAATTCCATTCTGTATTATTTGAGGAAGTGATGAAGGTTAACAGATTGAATGATGTTTGTTTCGACATCGATCGAAACACCTCTTTTAGACGATAATATATGTGACATCTGTATGATGTCATTGTGTTGTTTTATGAGATAACGAAAATTTTCTATAGTACTATATTTTTAAATTCCTGCCTGGAAATAGAGGTTTGAACTGTCCATTCTTTATTTTCTGAAGATGTGATGACGAAACATGGATTGAATGGGTTATTTTAGTTAGATGTTTCAATGTTTATAAAAACAACACTTTTTTTTTTTTGGTTTTAGATGAGAATATACGTGACATGAGGATGATGTGGTTGTATTAGATACACACATGTAATTTCAAGCTTTCGGTTTTTGGTGAGGCTCAATTCCTGTCTTGGTCAGCTACAGCAATCACACATGGTTGCTGGTCCTCATTGTCTTGAGAATGATGTCCAGTCTACAGACCATATGCCTTCCAATTCCTTTCTTGGTCAGCCACAACAATCACACATAGTTGCTGTTCCTCATTGTCTTGAGTAAGATGTCCCGTCAGCAGACCAAACTCCTTTGAAGTCCTCTTGATGAGAAACAGAAATTATACACAGTTCGGGGTCGTCATTGTCTTGAGATAGATATCCAGTCAGCAGACCAAATGCTTTCCAATTCCTCTCTTGATGAGCCACAGCAATCACACATAGTCAGTGACCCTCAATGTCTAAAGAAAGGTTTCAAGTCATCAGCAGACCAAACGCTTTCCAATTCCTCTCTTGGTTAGCCACAGCAATCACACATAGTTGGTGACCCTCTATGTCTGGAGAAAGATGTCCAGTCAGCAGACCAAATGCCTTCCAATTCCTCTCTTGGTGAGCTACAGCAATCACACATAGTTGTTGGCCCTCAATGTCTTGAGAAAGATGACCAGTCAGCAGACCAATGGCCGTTGAAGTCCTGTCTTGATGAGCAATAGAAATCACACATAGTCGGGGTCGTCATCGTCTTGAGATAGATATCCAGTCAGCAGACCAAATGCTTTCCAATTCCTCTCTTGATGAGCCACAGCAATCACACATAGTCAGTGACCCTCAATGTCTAAAGAAAGGTTTCAAGTCATCAGCAGACCAAACGCTTTCCAATTCCTCTCTTGATGAGCCACAGCAATCACACATAGTTAACGTTGGTGGCCCTCAATGTCTTGAGAAAGGTTTCAAGTCATCAGCAGACCAAATGCCTTCCAATTCCTCTCTTGGTGAGCCACAGCAATCACACATAGTTGGTGACCCTCTATGTCTTGAGAAAGATGTCCAGTCAGCAGACCAAATGCATTCCAATTCCTCTGTTGGTGAGCCACAGCAATCACACATAGTTCATGGCCCTCAATGTCTCGAGAAAGATGTCTAGGCAGCAGACCAAATGTCTTCCAATTCTTCTCTTGGTGAGCCACAGCAATTACACATAGTTAATGGCCCTCAAAGTCTTGAGAAAGATGTCCAGTCAGCAGACCAAACACCTTTGAAGCCCTCTCTTGATGAGTCACAGAAATCACACATAATTGTTCGAAAGCATGCTCCATCATATCCTGTAGAGGATAGTCTTGACTCACCTGATGAATATCCCTCAGTCGAAAACAACCCTGATTTCATTTTAGATTCAAATTTGTCAGATGAAGACATTGTTCCAGAACCATCAGATGAAACATCTTTGAGGTCACCAAGCCCGGTAATACCGATTCCATCAAGGGAGTCTTCCAATCATCCAGGTTCTTCTGATGAGACTGTCTCCAGCACAATTGAAATTGAAGTCATGACAACTTCAAACTCTGAAGGGAAGAGCCACTGGGACAAACCACAGTACTGCCCATTTTGTCTTCAGCAGTAGTAGTGCTGGTCCTCATTGTCTTGAGTAAGATGTCCAGTCAGCTGACCATACGCCTTCCAATTCCTCTCTTGCTGAGCCACAGCAATCATACATAGTACTAGTGCTGGTCCTCATTGTCTTGAGTAAGATGTCCAGTCAGCTGACCATACGCCTTCCAATTCCTCTCTTGCTGAGCCACAGCAATCATACATAGTACTAGTGCTGGTCCTCATTGTCTTGAGTAAGATGTCCAGTCAGCTGACCATACGCCTTCCAATTCCTCTCTTGCTGAGCCACAGCAATCATACATAGTACTAGTGCTGGTCCTCATTGTCTTGAGTAAGATGTCCAGTCAGCTGACCATACGCCTTCCAATTCCTCTCTTGCTGAGGCACAGCAATCATACATAGTACTAGTGCTGGTCCTCATTGTCTTGAGTAAGATGTCCAGTCAGCTGACCATACGCCTTCCAATTCCTCTCTTGCTGAGCCACAGCAATCATACATAGTACTAGTGCTGGTCCTCATTGTCTTGAGTAAGATGTCCAGTCAGCTGACCATACGCCTTCCAATATCTCTCTTGATGAGCCACAGCAATCATACATAGTTGGTGGCCCTAATTCTTGTCTTAACTTTTTAAGAAAATATTCCTTACAATTTTTTACTTCCTGCCTGAAAATAAAGGCTTTAAATTTCCATTCTTTATTTTCTGAAGAAATGATGACCAATTACGGATTGAATTGGTTATTAGGTTGTTAGATGTTTATCAATACAACTTTTTGGTTATTTTTTTTGTATTTGATGAGAATGTGCTCGACATGAGGATGATGTCATATCGTGTTGTTATATTATATGCACAAATGTTATGAATGCATTATTCAGTTTGTGGTAGGCTTACAAAATGTGTTGCACAATGATGTTTTTACAACACGTCATAGTTTGAAACAATTAAGGCAGCTTTAAATTTCAAAGAAAATAACTGTAATTCAAACTGTTCTTTCATTCATACCTGCAAAAAGAAGCAGAAAATTTCAGTTCTGTATTATTTGAGGAATTGATGAGGAATATCAGATTGAATGATTTTTGTTTCGACATTGATTGAAACACCTCTTTTAGACGATAATATATGTTACATCTGGATTATGTCATTGTGTTATATGAGATACACGAATGTCAATCCAATCTTTTAGTTTGTGGTTGGCTTAATCACGTTTTCACAACATCATAGTGGAGAGAGCTTTAACTTTTAACAAAAAAATTCCATTATACATGTACTATATTTTTTAATTCCTACCTGGAAATAGAGGTTTGAATTGTCCATTCCTCATTTTCTGAAGATGTGATGACGAAACATTGATTGAATGGGTTATTTTAGATGTTTCAATGTTTATAAAAACAACTCTTTTTTTTGGTTTTAGATGAGAATATACGTGACATGAGGATGATGTGGTTGTATTAGATACATACATGTAATTTCAAGCTTCAGTTTTTGGTGAGGCTCAATTCCTGTTTTGGTCAGCTACAGCAATCACACATGGTTGCTGGTCCTCATTGTCTTGAGAATGATGTCCAGTCAGCAGACCAAATGCTTTCCAATTCCTCTCTTGA